GCTGGAAGCTCAGTCTCCGCTGGCTTGGGGTGCAGGGGGAGGGCCAGAGCCCTGGCTCTGGGCTCCCCTCCCCGAAGATGGACTTGGCTGAAAGTCACTGATTTCTGTGCTAACAAGTTCTGTCCTACGCTGAGTTCCTGTTGAATAATAAGCCTTCTGTTTTATCGGCTAGCTGTGAGTCACGTCTGACTGCGGAGTTGGGGTGCAGGACCCTCTGGCTTCCTCAGGAGCCCTGCCTGGGCGGACTCCCTGCAGGAAGCACACGGTGTGGAAGGGGACGCTGAATGCTCTGAGGTCAGATCCAGGAAGGTTGAAGCTGTGTAAGCTTCTTGCCCTGGAGACAGTATGCTCAGAGAGAGGAGGCTCCCCCAGAGTCCTGACTGGCTTCATATGGAGTAGTTCCAGAGCATCACCCCAGTGACTCTGTGACAAGGGCCAACTTCTGTCGGTTTCTTTGGCTTTGGTGCCTCACCTGCCAGCCACCTCAAGTGTAGGCCCATTTTACAGATGGGGAACTGAGGCACTGAGGTGAAGTGTGGTCAGCCAGTAGTTTGATTGTAAACTGTTCCCAAGAGGGACTGTCTTTCACTGTGTGCCTCTACAGTCATCCAGCAACATGGAACCTGGAACTCTTGGCACTATGCCTTACCCTTGTATAATGCTCTTCATCAATCTGAAAGCATTTTACACTGGAGTTCAATATCATTATCTCCATTTTACAGATGGGGAAACTGAGGCATGGAGTGTGACTTGCCCAAAACTCACCGAGCAAGCCTGTGACACAGCCAGGGATAGAATCCAGCCTCCTGCACCCCACTCCTCTTTGCTATCCACGAGGCCACACTGCAAATAGCGATACGTCCCACCTCTGCCTCAACTCAGATTAAGGAGTGTGCTGGGCCACATCCAATGTCCTATTCTTATTCCAAAATATGATTTTTTTTAAGGTCACACTTTCTTTCAAAAAATATTAAAAGAGGGGAAATTTTTTAAAAGAGGGGAAAGTGCACAAATAAAGTGATAACTATTTCCAGAGCCATTGAGGAAGAGATTCTAGAAAGAAACTGTAAGTATGCAGGGGGAGGGGGGAAATCTATTTACATTGCAACAAAGGCTGATGCAGGCCAGGCAGAAGCTGTGCCCGCAGGTTAGCGTCACGGGATCGCTGAAATAGTCGAGGCAGAGGGAGAGGGTGATTTCGTCCTGGAGGCTTTGGAGAGGGTTTGCAATAGGCACCGTGTCTGAGACAGAGAAACAGGAAGGAAACGTTAGTGCTTCTGATACATTCCTAGACTGCAAGGCTGCAGCCCTTTATCTAGAGGCAAGAGGATTTATCTTCCCCCGAGGATAAATCGACCCCCCCGAGCACTCTCCCGTCGACTCCTGTACAGTACTCCACCGCCGCGAGTTATAGTTATTTTTCTTTTTTTTTGCCGAGCGCGTATAGTTGAATTCGCGTACGTTAAATGCGGGTATGATGCGACTCCACTGAGTGGCTCTTCTATCTAGCAGACAAAGGTCTGACAACATCAAGTGCCTGGAAGCTGAAGCTAGACCAATTCAGACAAGAAATGAGGCACAAGTTTTTAACAATGGGGGTAATTAACCATTAGAATAATTTAATAAGGGTTGTGGTGAATTCTCCAGCATAAGCAATTTTTAAATCAAGGTTGGACATTTTTCTAAAAGGTCAACTCTAGTTCAAACAGGGATTGATTCAGGGAAATCTTATGGCTTGTGTTACACAGGAGGTCAGACTAGGTGAACACAATGATCCCTTCTGTCCTTGGAATCTATACATCTATTCAATCTATTTGGTGTTCCCATGGAAAATTTAATTGGATGCTACAAAGAAGCATGTTTGTGCATGGGTTAGAAAAGAAAGTTTGTAGGAATAGTTGCTATAATAGGGAGTGTTACCTAGTGGCTATGACACTGGACTAAGACCCTAAAGACATTGGTTCTATTCCTGGCTCTGACTTGCTAAGTGACTTTGGGGCAGTCACATTGGTCTATGCCTCAGTTTCCCTATCTGTAAACTGGGGTTAATGATCCTTTGTAAAAAAAAACTCCCATTGAAAAGTACTATTATTATTAATCAAGTGATGACATTACAAGCCAAAGCATAACTTAAGTACCATTGCTCCCTTCCCTCAAAGCTTCTTATTTTCTATTAACTCTCTCTACTGGAAGATTGCCCTCTTTTTGGAATTCCCCCCCAGAATGCCTTTTGTGACACTGGCCCTTTAAATTGGGCAAAGACAAACAGCTGATGCCCTAAAGTGATCACTTTGCAACAAGCAGTAGCTGTCTTTCACTTAGTCAGTGTGTGTAATGTTTCCTTGTGCTTGTTCTTGTGTCAAGCTATGTGTAATGCTTCTGAAACCTAGATCTCAAGGCATGTTGTAAAGAGAGATGTATGTAACATTGTTCCCATTTTACAGATTGGTAAGGCTGAGGCACAGTGAGGTGAAGTGACTTGACCAAGTTTGCAAAGTGACTCACTGGCTTGAATTCACTCCTTTTGACCCCTCAGTCCAGTGCTCTACTTGTTGGACTGGGCTGCTTTCCTTCACTTTGTTACTGACTGACAAAAATGTGTTGCAGATCAAGAAAATTAATCCTTACTGTTTGGTCACCGATTAATTTGCAAAGTGACTACTTCTAAGCGCTTGGGAGGCTGAAAGGCTGAGTTAAGGTGATTTAGGTTTCCTAACTGTACATTTCCATAGCACAGTATCCTGTCTTCCATCAGGGGCCAAACCTACCACCCAACGTGGGGCTCCAACCCATGACCCATGAGACTGAGTCTCATGCGCTACCAACTGAGTTAGCAGAGCTGTGCCTATGATCTAAACTACCCCTCAACTAGTTAACAGATTTACTTGAAAATTCTTAGAAAATGAATTCCCTGCTCCAAGTCACTGCTATCAATTTTATGGGGGGATCCCTTGCATTTTTCATTTGTACCAGAGCAAAGGACTCATCCTCTTTAAGAATAATATGTAACTCAGCCTTCACCATGGAGCTGCAACTGGTACCTCCATAATAAAAACCCATCCAACTATATGCTGTTCACAGAGAGAGAGGATTAGACCTCATGTCCCTGTACCTTTCCCCTCCCCTACCACTGTCGGTGACCTGCAAGTAGGGTGACCAGATGTCCTGATTTTATAGGGACAGTCCTGATTTTTGGCTCCTATTACCTCCCCCATCCCCTCTCCCAATTTTTCACATTTGCTGTACGGTCACCCTACTTGCAAGTGGCTTCTGAATTTTTCCCCACAGATTCCCCCCACCACCACTTTTCTGTGCTAAACCCACATACCCAAGCCCAATGATTGCAATTCATTAATAAGCTCTTTGGATCAGAGGCTATCTTTTTGTTCTGTGTTTTTACAGCGCCAAACACAACAGGGTTCTGGCCCATGACTGTGGCTCCTATGTGCTATGGTAATAAAATAATAAATAGTCACTAGCCTCTGAGAAAGGTGGCAATATTGTCCCACTGAACTCTTTCCGGCCTAACCCATCCTGATCCTCTGTCACTCTTCTCTTTCAAGACCTGCCTTCTGCTAATATCGCCTATCATCTGATCTACACACACAGTGTGTGTTTCTCTGTCCCAGTGCTCCTCATTGTGTCCATGTCTAATACCTGATGCCTTTGCCCAGAGCAGCTGGGTTATAAACACAGCACCAGAGTCTTCTGTGCATTACAGACCCTTCTCCAAAACCAGACAAATTCCCTCCTTCCTGCCCAGGAGTTTGGATACATTTTCCCAGATCTGGGATACATTTCCTATCCCACTGTCCTGACTCTCATATTTGCTGTGGCTCAAAAGGAAACTCCAGGGAGCATCTGTCTCACACACACCCTCCCTACCTTCTACTTACTTGAGTCAGAGACCTGTGGATCAATAGCGATTTCATCACCCAAGGTGAAGTTCTGGAACAGTCCGGTGCCCCAGCTGCAGAGCTCAGCTGTTTGCAGGCCCTAGATGGATCCCCTGGCAGCCTGCGTCCCAAAGCCTCCCCCTCACCTTGTCTGTCGAGGTACTTTGTAGCTTCCAGTGCCTTCCCAAACTACTTCACAACAGCAGTGATAAGAACATAAGAACATACTGGGTCAGACCAGTGGCCCATCTAGCCCAGTATCCTCTCTCCTGACAGTAGCCAATGCCAGGTGCTTAAGAGGGATGAACAGAACAGGCAACCATACAGTGGTCCATCCCCTGTTGCCCATTCCCAGCTTCTGGCAAACAGAGACTAGGGACACCATCCCTGCCCAGCCTGGCTAATAGCTGTTGATGGACCTATCCTTCATGAACTTATCTAGTTCCTTTTTGAACCCTGTTATAATCTTGGCCTTTGCTACACCCTCTGGCAAGCAGTTCCACAGGTTGACTCTGTGTTGTGTGAAGAAATACTTCTTTTTGTTTGTTTTAAACCTGCTGCCTAGTAATTTCATTGGGTGACCCCTAGTTCTTGTGTGATGAGAATGAATAAATAACATTTCCTTATTTACTTTCTCCACACCCAGTCATGATTTTATTGACCTCTGTTACATCCCCCCTAAGTCGTCTCTTTTCCAAGCTGAATAGTCCCAGTCTTATTAATCTCGCCTTTTATGGGAGCTGTTCCATGCCCCTCATCATTTTTGTTGCCCTTTTCTGAACCTTTTCCAATTCCAATGTATCCCTTTTGAGAGGGGGCGACCCCCACATCTGCATGCAGTATTCAAGGTGTGGGCGTGCCGTGGATAGAGGCAATATGATATTTTCTGTCTTATTATCCATCCCTTTCGTAATGATTCCCAACATTCTGTCAGCTTTGTTGACGGCCGCTGCACACTGTGTAGCTGTCTCTCCCCCGTCCAAAACAGCAGGAGAAATAGCCTGGGCTAGCTGAAGCTGAGAGTGGAAAACTGGCCTGCACTTCCAGGGGTGGATGGGAAATGTAGTTCTTCTTCCTCCTTGGGAGCTCTCGCTCCCCCTTGGAAACTGTAATCCTTCTCCACAGCTGGGGTCATCAGACAGCCGGGCTCAGACAATCCTCAGGCAGTGCAGTGCAGTTCCCCCAGTTCTGAGCCCAAGCTCAGAGGCCAGCTAGTTTCCTGCAGCATCACCAGGGATGTATGATTGTGAGCCTGGAGGAAGTGAATAAGCTTTTCCCCCATGCATGCTGAGCATCCCGCGTCTGCCTATTGGGCCCTGTTGTTTTCTTGCTCTCCTGGGGAGAGACCTTCATTAAAGCCCCCACTGTGCTCAGCCTATGGGTTGGACTTTCTCCAGTGGCTGGAACCACTCCTGAGCCGGAGCCTGCAGGTGAGAGGAGAGACCTGGGGGAAAGGGCTGGGCAGGAAAGTGACTCTGCACAAACGGCCCCTCCTTGCCCCATCTCTGCTCCCGGGGGTCTGTGAGTCCCATAGCTGCTGCCCTCCCTGACCCCCCCGTCCCCGCTTCAGGCTCTGCTCCCCTGAACACTTGCAAAAGCCGGGCCAGCTCTGGGGAAATTGTATAAACTCTGCACTTGGTCTTTCTCTTGTGTCTGTGCCCTGCTCCTGCGTGCAATAAATGTGTGTGCAGGATCCTAGGTGGGGGTGGGGATCACCTCAGTGTCATAGAGAGGGGCCACTCTGTGACAGGATTGCTATGCCTATGTAATATGCCAAGTGAGGGGACTCGCCAAGGCCATGGAATACTACTACCTTGCTCTCGTACAGGAGCGACACCCACTTACTATCTAGCACTTCTCATCAGTGGTGCTTTACGAAGGAGGTCAATTATCACTGACCCCTTTTTACAGAGGGAGAAACTGAGGCAAGCTCCAGTCACCCATGCCTCCTCTTGACCACCTGTGTATTTTTCTTCTAGTGACTTCTTCATTTGCCTTCACATCTCCTCCAGTGATGCCGGAAGGACTGGAAAAATGTATGTGGGGTGGGAAAGCCACCAAAAGTTGGGGGGCAGCTTGGGGAGTCCAAGAGGAGCAGAGGGGTGACTCCCAACAAGAGCCCTCCCCCTACCTGTGCCCGGACGCTGCTCCCCATCAGTGCCCGTCCCCCCTTCTGGCTCTGCTCACAGCAGCTATTTCCCCATGGGCAAGTGTGACTACTGCGTAGAGCAGGACACCTGGGTTCTTCTGCCACTGGCCTGCTGGAGGACTTTAGCCAGGTAACTTCCGCTCTCGAGGCCTCCGTTTCTCCATCTGTAAAAGGGGGGTTAATGATAGTGTCCCCAGCTTCCTCTGTGCTCACCGGCCACCGAGTGCCTATGCTTTCCAAAGTGTGTGTTTGGGTGCAGAATAGACCTTGTCCATCTCCCCGCCAAGTCTCTGTCACCTCTGATCTCTCTAGACCAGCTTAGACTCCTGTTGGGTCTTTCCCTGACCTCCTCCCAGCGAACCCTGCTGCGTGTCTCAGGCACTCCAAAGGGATAGGAGTGTCTAGCGTTCCGTTCTGTGCACTGTGGTGCCCCCGATGAGCCCTAGTCATAGGCTAGGGTCCCATTGCGCTAGGTGCTGTATGAACAATAACAGGATACATGATCCCCCCTGGGCTGCAACTTCCGCTCTAGCTTCCTGCTGGGCTGTTATGTGGTGTGGGAACCTGAACACATTTTTGGAGGGTCGTTCCTGTGCAGGACTCCTGGGTTCTGCTCCGGGCTCTGGCACTGATCTGGTGCATGATCCGGAGCAAGTCACAGCCCTTCCGTGTTTTTTTTTTTTCCTCCTGCTGATAATAGCTCACCTTAACTGATCACTCTTGTTATAGTGGGTGTGGCAACAAAGATTTTTCATGTTCTCTGTGTATATATATATATATATATATATATATATCTTTTTTCCACTGCATGCATCCGATGAAGTGGGTTTTAGCCCACGAAAGCTTGTGCTCAAATAAATGTGTTTGTCTCTAAGGTGCCACAAGTACTCTGAGTTCTTTTTACAGATAATAATGAGATTTACCTTTCTTTGTGAAGCACTTTGAGATGTCTGGCTGAAGATCCCCATGTAAGTGCTGAGGGCCAGAACCCCAGCGGGTGTAAATTAGCATAGCTCCATGGGGCTAGATTCCCAGCTCATGTAAATTAGAATCGCTCCATGGGAGGCAATGGGGACCAGATCCCCAGAGGGTGTAAATTAGCATTGCTCCATGGGAGGCAATGGGGACCAGATCCCCAGAGGGTGTACATTAGCATTGCTCCATGGGAGGCAATGGGGACCAGATCCCCAGAGGGTGTACATTAGCATCGCTCCATGGGAGTCAATGGGGACCAGATCCCCAGAGGGTGTAAATTAGCATCGCTCCATGGGAGGCAATGGGGACCAGATCCCCAGAGGGTGTAAATTAGCATTGCTCCATGGGAGGCAATGGGGACCAGATCCCCAGAGGGTGTAAATTAGCATCGCTCCATGGGAGGCAATGGGGACCAGATCCCCAGAGGGTGTAAATTAGCATTGCTCCATGGGAGTCAATGGGGACCAGATCCCCAGAGGGTGTAAATTAGCATTGCTCCATGGGAGGCAATGGGGACCAGATCCCCAGAGGGTGTACATTAGCATTGCTCCATGGGAGGCAATGGGGACCAGATCCCCAGAGGGTGTACATTAGCATTGCTCCATGGGAGGCAATGGGGACCAGATCCCCAGAGGGTGTAAATTAGCATCGCTCCATGGGAGGCAATGGGGACCAGATCCCCAGAGGGTGTAAATTAGCATCGCTCCATGGGAGGCAATGGGGACCAGATCCCCAGTGGGTGTAAATTAGCATTGCTCCATGGGAGTCAATGGGGACCAGATCCCCAGAGGGTGTAAATTAGCATTGCTCCATGGGAGGCAATGGGGACCAGATCCCCAGAGGGTGTACATTAGCATTGCTCCATGGGAGGCAATGGGGACCAGATCCCCAGAGGGTGTACATTAGCATTGCTCCATGGGAGGCAATGGGGACCAGATCCCCAGCGGGTGTAACCAGCCATAGCTTCCACAAAGTCAGCCGAGCGATGCTGATTTACACCCGCCCCGCATCCGGCCTGACGCCTGGTTCCCGAGGCCGGCGGGGACCAGCCCCGCTCCCCGCGGGGCGCTGCGTGGCACAGGGGCATGGAGAGCCCGGCTGCCGAGCACGGCCCTGGCTGGACCCGGATTCCCGACACACACTCCCCGCAGGCGGCTGGGGTGGGGGCAGAATCCCTCTGGCCAGATCCGCCCCCTTTGGGCCATGTTCTGCCCCGGCGGGAGCGCAGCAATGCGGATCCAGGAGCTGGTGCCACCAGAGGGCTCTGGTTATTGCGGAGGGACGGGAGGCTGCTCTGGCTTATGCCTTTGCTCTCTTCCTCTGTATTTGCTTCTTCTTCTCCTTCGCTCAGGATATCAGGGGGCTGAGCTTCCTGGGTCAGACGCTGAGTGCCAGCAGCTGCGTCCATAGTGACCCAAGAGCCAGGACTGAGCAGTTGCTGCGCCAGGGAAAGACCTTCAGCAAAGCGCCCTCTGCGCCCAGCCCAGATTGGGACTCTCTCCGGTGGCTGGGACCTGCCCCGGGCTCTGCCCACACCAGCTCCTGAGCCGGAGCCTGCAGGTGATTGAGAGAAAGAGAGAGAGAGAATTCAGTCTTGGCTGTGGCCAGACTGTAAAAATGGCTCCTCGTTACCCTCCCCATAATCTCTGTTCCCCGGGGGTCCGCGAGTCCCCGAGCTGCTGCTGTCACTGGCAAGCCCGGGCTCTTGCTCCTGTTTGCATGAGTGGATCCAGAAGTTAGCATTCTCCTCTGTGTGTGTCTGTGTGTGATTTAACTTGCTGAAGGCGGCATGGAGCTGCGGTTGGCTCTGGGGGGGATGTAAATTGGATTTCAAAAAGACTCTGTATGATCATGCACGGAAAGGTGGGATTTAATTAGCCAGCGCTCGCAAAAGTGTCTTTGCTAGAGAAAGAGAAATATGTTGCCAACACCAAAAGAAAATGCAATCAGACATGAGAATCAGCTGCTAGAGCATAGGAGTGAAGGGTAGCGAATACATTTGTAAAGAGCTCTGGCCCTTGGAATTGCAGATGAGTGAACCTGATTTCAGTATCTGGAAAATCTCTTTCCAGCAATATTTAAAGACGGTTATAAACCCTCAGCTTCATAAGCTGATAGGTCAGTATTATGTGATCGAGACTAACCAGCATAGCTTCTGCAGAGCAACATCATGTTGCTCTAAGCTATCAGAGTTCACTAACACAGCGGCTCTCAACCTTTCCAGGCTACTTACCCCTTTCAGGAGTCTGATTTGTCTTGCCTACCCCCAAGCTTCACCTCACTTAAAACGGCTTACTTAAAAGAATCAGACTTAAAAATGTAAAAGGCTCCCAGCACAGTATTACTGAAAACCTGCTTCCTTTCTCATTGTTACCATATCATGAGAAAACAAATCAACTGGAATATAAATATTGTACTTACATTTCGCTGTATAGTCTATAGAGCAGTAGAAACAAGTCATTGTCTGTATGAAATTTGAGTTTGTCCTGACTTCGCTAGTGCTTTTTATGTAGCCTGTTGTAAAACTAGGCAAATATCTAAAGGAGCTGCTGTGTCCACTGGAAGGCCTCTGTGTACCCCCAGGGGTAGCATACTCCAGGTGGAGAACTAGGGCAAATAGTGGATAAGGAAGAAGCAGTAGACAGGTTTAATTTGGACTTTCAAAAACTTTGACAAAGCCCCTCACAAAGGGCTATTAAGAAAACCAAATAATGATGGGATGAGAGGTAAAGTTCTATTCTGGGTTGGAAATTGGCTAAGAGACAGGAAACAGTAGGTATAAATGGCCAGTTAACATAGATACAGAAGCTTAATAGCAGCTCCAGACTAGGAGGTTTAATATATTAGTGATTTGGAAACGAGGTGGCCCCCTTTGCAAATAACTAACTGCAAGAGTTTTGAGTCAACAATTAACTCTTAACCATTAACTAACCCAGCTGGACAAATGGGCAAAAGAACATCTGTGTCAATGAATGCATGGCAATGCACAACGGAGGGAATGATTTGAACCTGCTGCTGGGTTGTAAATTGGTAGAAGTGGGTGAAAATAAACGGAGGCAATTTTCAGCGACTCAAGGCATGTGTTATCAACTCCACAGGATGTGCTTTTGTGGTTGACTAAGAAGTTTTGTGTCGGCTGCCCAAGAGAAAGGGTTTAAAGAGTAGAAAATAGTTTAGCTTTGAAACATCAGCTAAAAACCAGAGACAGATGGTCAACTGGTCTAAATTAGCAGAGAGACACTGGACAGGAGCGGCTCGGATTTACCCTCTGCATGTGGCCCAGGCTGGGTGGGACTGGAAATGGAAATCACATGGGATACACCATCAACACACAACCCCCCTCAATGCCTTTTCCACGGAGTCCCTGCTTGGGACAGACCACTACTTTAACTCTTCCTTTCTCCTTCCCCCAGGCTTTTGCCTCTTTCCCCACCCTGCCCCTCTGAAATCGTGGGGTGTAATTCTCCATCTGCCTCACATTTTGTTGCAGCCCGGTCACATCCGTGCAAAGCAAATGCAAAAGCTCCAACGTTCTGATCTGGTTGACTTTTGCACCCATCCTGTGTAGGTGTAAATGATCCACCCCAAGGGGCTAATTGTAACACACTTAAAGACCTAGATTGTATGGCCAGAAGGGATCTCTTTGGTCACTAGTCAGACCTCCTGTGTAGGATTTCACCTGGAGATTCATGTAGTGAAGGTGGGGATTTTATTCTTGACCCCTGTAAAGTGTGTGTGTGTCACAGCACCCTCTATCCTCAGAGAGGATAAGAGGCTACTACTGGCACCAGCTGCTGAAGTTCCTCCTTTAGCTCAAGAGGCTCAAATATGTGCTTTGATGGCGGAAGATTCTGTGTTCAAATTCTGCTACTGACCCTTCTCTGCACGTGGCTCTTTCACAAGGCTGTGGGAACCCTTGTACCCTTAATTATTGGGCTCAAAGGAGATTGTTGTTGTTGTAATTTGGTGTCCATTTGGAGCTGAAATTTAGCCAATGGATTAGGGCCATTTCATTGGAGATAGGCAAAATGGAGGCTTGAATACCATGCAGCAGTGAAAGAGGACTGTGTTTTGTATGTTGTTTGAAAATCTCACACTGTTTCAGGACTGAAGTTATGTAAACATTTAAATTAAGCCCTTTTCTCCAAATTTCCTGCACCAAATGCCATGAGATAAAATCGCAAGAATACAACATTGAGTTTCCAGCCTCCTAAACTGCAGAGATGCTTGAAAATGTGACCCCTATAGGCTCAAAAACCAGAAAGAAAATACTCCCCCCCCCCCCCCCCCATAATTTATCATTATTTTTTAAATCTCGTTATTTTTTGGTTGGGGCCTGAATGCTTTGGGGTTGGCAATACTGTAGTTACCCTTACCTTTCTGCTACGTTCCCCTCACACACACTGATATAACTCATGCTTAGTGTGGCTTTCTCCCCTCTAGTGACAGAAACATGTAGAGCTTTGAGCTAGCTCCTGATGATGGGGCACACCACCTGGGTCTCTTACATCTGGCAATTGCAGCTCATACTGTTGGATCTAGAGGTTGCAGGTTTGAGCCCCACCCAGGAGCGGGAATCTTACCCTTCTGCTTCTATCCAAGAGAGGGTGAGGGGTATGATGCTCTCAGTAGATGAAAGGGATCTGGTCTCTTCCCCTCCCTCCAGTCTCATCCTTGGCTGAGTCTGTTCCTGGCTTGGAATGCAGCACAGATGGGACCAGGGTGTGGGCTGCCAGGAGGATGCAGCCACCAGATGGAGAAGTTGAAGCTGGTTAGTATATACCAGTGGTTCTCAAACTTTTGTATTGGTGACCCCTTTCACATAGCAAGCCTCTGAGTGCGACTCCCCTTATAAATTAAAAACACTTTAAAATATATTTAACACCATTATAAATGCTGGAGGCAAAGCGGGGTTTGGGGTGGAGGCTGACAGCTCGCGATCCCCTCCCATGTAATAACCTTATGACCCCTGAGGGGTCCCAACCCCCAGTTTGAGAACCCCTGGCATAGACCTTTCCAGATCAGCTGGTCTGTCTTGCATGCGCACCTGCTTCCCTCCAGCCCCTGTGTCAACAGCAGAGTAGCCCCTGGGTATGGGGGAGAAAGGAGGAGACCCCCCAACACATTTTCCTGAGACTCCAGACTCCCCATTGCCCCTGCTCCACGCCTTCTGCTATCAGCCCCTTCCCCACTGAAATGAATGGGAATTGGGTCTCCTCGCTGTTTCTGAAAACTTCACCCCTTAGTTCTAGAGCTGGTCGGAGACACTGGGATGGAAACCTTATGCCATCGGAATATGCAGTTCTGTCATCAGATTGATTTGGGGGAAAAAAGGGAAGAAAACGTTTTGATTGTGTGTTTTGAAATGACTCGTTTTGAAATTGCCATCATATAATGCAAAATAGTAAGGAAACAAGTCAAAACAAAACCTTTCAAATGCCCTGAAACAACTTTTTGAATTTTCCTTTGCCGAGAATTTCGAAATTTCCGGTGTTCGTGCCAACTCCCAACGCAGGTCCGTTTAGAAATCACGAAACCCTCTGTGACATGGAACCTCCGTACTCTGCACAGCTGTGCTCGCTTACATGTCAGTGTTGGGCGCTTACATGGCCTTCGTTATTGTAGCACTTGTGCACTTTGCAATCACAATTTTTAACATCTATATTCATGCCCCTCCCCCAGTGCTATATGTTTGTTGGAGAAGCCAGGTCCAAGAACTGGGCTTTGCACTGGTGGCGGGGAGGTTTGTGAGGGTCCTTGCTTCCTGAGAGAGTTTATTCCACTGCCTTAGGCACCTCCAAGAAAGTTCTGATTCATGCAGGGCCACCAGCTGCTGTAATCAGGGTACCACCCACAGAGTGCACTTAATAACCAGGAACCTGATGCTGCAGCCTGGGCTGATCCCAGGAATAAGAGGTAGGGGCTTAGCAGAAGCACATTAGGCCTGCACAGGGGAGGGAATGACAGTCCACCCCGGGAGGCAGAGGGCAGCCTGGCCCTGCGATGCCTGCACCGGCGGACTTACGGCTGGGGCGGTGGGTGCTGAGCGGGGGAGGTTTTGTTGTTGCAGAGGCCGGCAACCAGTGGAGGAGGCAGGAGCCGTGTCTCACCATGGAGCAGTACGTGCTTCTGGACCCCCGGCAGAGGGCCCTGTACAGGGATGTCATGCAGGAGAGCTACGAAACCCTGATGGCCCTCGGTAAGTAATCGCTTCCTCTTCTCCATAGGGAGCCGTGAGTGGCCCCATTCAGGGGTCTTCCTTGCTGGGGAATCCACCCCCTGCTTCCTCCTACGCCCCAGAACTCAGGGATGTAGTGGAGAAGGGAGTGAATGAAGCCATGGGAGCAGGACAGTGGGTCCCAAGTGGTAGCTAGGGCTGGTGGTAGCTAGGGCACTACCAATTTCACGGCTGTGAAAAACATGTCACAGACCATGAAATAAGCCCTTCCCCATTCAATCTGATCTCCTTCTGCTGCTAGGAGAGCCCCAGCCAGCGGGCTCCTAGCTCCAGCTGCCCTGGGGAGTCACGGGACTTGTCCAACCCCTGCACAGCCGCTTGGGGGGCGGGGAGAGCTCAGACCCACTTCCGGGAAGCTCCCTGATTGCTGCCTTCAGAGTCCAGCTCTGAAGGTGGCATGGAAGTGAGGGGGGCAATCCTGTGACACCCCCCCAAACAGATTTGTGACTCCTCCATAATCCCCTTTTGGGTTGGGACCCCACGGTTATACCACCATGAAATTTCAGATTTAAACATCTGCAAACGTGAAATTTACCAGTTTTCAAATCCTATGGCCGTGAAATTTACCAGAATGGACCCTGAATTTGGTAGGACCCTAGTGATAACAGAGGGAGACAAAGGCGGAGGAAAAGGATATCCCAAAGGCAGGGCTGCAGAAGCCTGCAAAACAGGACAGGACGTGTCCCAGGATGCCAGAAGGGTCTGGGAGGGGAGGAGGTGGGTCCCTGTACCGGAGGCAGCAGAGGGTGTGAGGAGGATACGTCCAGGCGTGGGGGGGGGACAGGCCCCTCAGAGTTACTAGGAAAGGCAGCGGAGGGAGACTGAATCTGAGTGGGAGAGCGGGCATCTGAGGGCTGGAAACAGAGATCTCCCTTGAGGAGCTTTGGGGTGAGAATTGGCGGATGGGATAGCAGGGCTGAGCGAGAAGGGCTCCTCTGGGGTGGGGAAAGGGAAAAGCAGCCTATTTAACAGGGGCAGGAGTAAAGGGGTGGGGAACAAGCTAGTAGAAATGTGACTCCTCTCTGATGGGCTGTGATGTCACTGGATTTCTTGAGCGGTGAGGAGAGAGGCTGAAGGCGGATAGGAGATGAAGTCTCTCACAGAGGGGAGAAGGACGAAGGACCTGGTTGTGGCAGAGAGCAAGAGCCCCAGGGGCTTCTGGGAAGGGGCCACTGAGGCTGAGGGAGGCGGGGGGGGGCGGCGTGGCAATGCCCAACCTGCTCTGATCTTGCTCATTTTGTTGCTCGCCCTGTCCCCGAGCAGAATTTCCAATTTCCAAGCCTGACCTGCTCTCCCGGCTGGACCGAGGGGATGAGCCGACAGCCCTGGATCTTCACGTACCCAGAGGTGGCCGGGCAGGTGAGTCCCTCTCCAGGAAGGAGAGGATCCCTGCAATGTCACGCATGGCTTCCCACCAACCCTGACTGAGCCCTGGCAGTAGCTCCCTCCCCGGGAGCGTCCGCATGGGATGCAGAGGCAGAATCGATCCCCCTCCTTTTGGGGTCGGGTTCTGGGGGGAGATGTGGCTGCTGGCCGTTTGATCTCCCTGCTAAGGGCAGACAGAAAGCAGAAGATCAGGAGTCCGAAGTGCAGGCAACGTGATGTTTATTGGTGTTAATCAGGCAAGCATAGCCATAGCTCTGCACGCTGGCAGAGCCTGTTTCCCCAGTGTCCCCGTTCCCCCCTCCGTAGCAGGCATAATTATACCTGAAGTGCACGCCCTTTGTCCAACCCCTTACCATTTATGGTCATGTGCCATTTTGGAGGGACTTCGGTCTGGGGGCTTCGGTACCACCTCTTTTGTACCCCATGGGAGGGGTAAGGAGTGAGGTTATGCTTCAGTCAGGGACAGGCATTTCTTTGGCCTGTTAGTGTTTCTTATACCCCCCGCCCCACTCCAGTCCCTTTGCCCCTCCTGACTGGTTGCCTGACCTTGCCTTGAGTTAAGATTTGAGGCAGTCTTCAAGTGTACGCTCGTATATTACACCCCCATTCTACCCAGCAACACTTTAGCTCTATTTCTTATCTCTTCCTCCCCCTCCTCCCATCTCCTTGTGGGCAGATGTAACACACAGTGTTCTTTGTTCACCCATATTAGTAAGAATATAAAAATATCAAAAGCCAAACGGGCCATCAAGACCCAAAATTCTATCTCCAGCAAATATAGAGGCCTGAATGCTGCATTATCATCACTAACGCTCCTCGGCAGTTGTGGTTTGTTCCCCTCGCCATGCAGGGAATGACTCGTGTCTGGGTCTCTCTCCCCTAGCAGCAGACAGCACCGCCAGTGGGAAAGAAGAAGAGAAACCCCAGGAAGCGAGCCCAGAGGAGCCAGCCCCGGGAAAAGCCGACGGCGCTGGGAAGGCTCCCCAAAGCCCCGAGGCAGGGGAGAAGCCGCCGGCTAACAGCGGGGAAAGCCCCAACACCTGTGCCGAGTGTGGCAAGACCTTCAGCCACAAGTCGGCGCTGGCCAAGCACCAGAAGATCCACACGGGCGAGAGGCCCCATGAATGCCCCGACTGTGGCAAGACCTTCATCCAGCGCTCGGACCTGACCATCCACCGGCGGGTGCACACCGGGGAGCGCCCCTATGCCTGCCCCGACTGCGGGCGCCGCTTCAGCGTCAGCTCCTCCCTGCTGACCCACCAGCGCACCCATGCGCCGGGCGGAGAGAAGCCCAACCGCTGCCCGCAGTGCGGCAAGAGCTTCGCCGACCCCAGCGCCCTGGCCCGGCACCAGAAGAGCCACCTGGGCGGCAAGCCGTATGAGTGCGGCGTCTGCGGCAAGGCCTTCGCCTGGAGCTCCCACCTGGAGCGGCATCAGCGCATCCACACGGGAGAGAAGCCCTTTCAGTGCGGGGAGTGCGGCCGGGCCTTCGCCTGGAGTTCCCACCTGGACCGCCACATGCGCACCCACGCGGCAGCTGCGGAGGAGGAGGAGGCTGAGGAGGAAGCCCCGCCCCCGCCGCAGAGATGCGCCGACTGCGGTAAGCGCCTCAACCACCAGACGGACCCACAGCGCTTCAAGCACAAGGGGACGCAGACCCAGGACGGCGGCGGGGTGGGAGAGGGGCCCTGCCAGGTCGAGGAGAGTGGCCCTGAGCGGCCCCACCGCTGCCAACAGTGCGGCAAATGCTTCAGCCAGAGCTCGAACCTGCTCAAGCACCAGCGTGTGCACACGGGCGAGCGCCCCTACGCCTGCCCGGACTGCGGGCGCCGCTTCCGCTGGGGGTCGGCCCTGGCCAAACACCGGCGCACCCACGCCCGGGAAAGGCCCGCCGAGGGCCCGGCGCCGGCCCGTGACGCCGGCGCTGCCGGCAAGCCGTACCCCTGTGGGGCCTGCGGGAAGAGCTTCGGCTGGATCTCGCACCTGGAGCGTCACCGGCGCATCCACACGGGAGAAAAGCCCTACCGGTGCGGGGAGTGCGGGCGGGCCTTCGCCGTCAGCTCCCACCTGGAGCGTCACCGGCGCATCCACACGGGTGAGCGGCCCTACCGCTGTGGCGACTGCGGCAAGAGCTTTGCCGTCAGCTCCACCCTGCTGGCTCACCGGCGCACCCACGCCACCCGGGAGGGGAGGCCTCACCAGTGCCCTGACTGTGGCAAAGGTTTCACTGCCGCCCCAGCCCTGGAGCGGCACCGCCGGCTGCACCGGGGTGAGAAGCCTTACCAGTGCAGTGTCTGTGGCAAAGGCTTCGCCTGGAGCTCGCACTACGACCGGCATCGGCTCACCCACACCGGAGAAAAGCCCTTCCCCTGTGCCCACTGTGGAAAGCGCTTTGGCCGCAGCTCCCACCGCAACCGGCACCAGCGGGCCCACGCCCAGGCCGGCGCGGAGAAACGGCACATCTGTCCTGACTGCGGCAAAGCCTTCAGCCTCAGCGCGGCCCTGGCGGCCCACCAGAGACTCCACACCGCTGGCACCGACAGCCCGCTCTCCCTGCTGCCGCCCGCCTGGTGGGAGGCCGAGAGGAGGACCGGGACGACCACGCCACCGCCCGAGGCCTGGGCTGAGGATCCGGCCACCCGCTTCCAATGCCCTGTCCCCTCCGCTTCCCCGACTGCTTCCCCCCGGGCCTGGGCGACCAAGCCTCTCTCAGCTCCTGGCGCATGGAGGCCAGGGGAACGGGAGGCCAGTGCTGCTGCCCCTCTGGAGAGCTGGGCCCAGCAACCTCCTCCCAGCTCCTAACATGGCTAAGCAGGGTGTGTAGGGGGAGGGGGAACCCCTGTCTTTGGAGAGAGCCAGAAACACCCTCTGCCCTGGATGGGGCTGGTTGGGGGACTGGCATGTTCTCCCCCCCCAGCCAGGGGATTCTCTGCGGGTGAAGGGGGGGTGGCAGTTTGCCCCCTCACACCGGCAGCATGATTCACTGCTGATGCAGAAAAATGGCCCTTGAGCCGCCTGGTAGCTGAGACCCTCTTCTCCCCCCCCGCAGAATGCCATAGGGCCAGGGGGTTCCCCCCACCCACCCCATACCCAGGCGGAAATGAGAGCTAGAAGGGAAGGGGGTGGAGGGCTGGGTCTGGGATAGGGACTAGATATGGGGGGAGGTGGGGTGGACATCAAGCAGGGGGGATGAGAGTTTGGGGACTGGGGGTGTAGGAACCAGAGGGGGCAGCAGACATTGGGTGGGGGGAGGGTGGGAAGCAGAGCGAGGTGGGGGGCTGAGTGTTTAGGGTTCAGAGGGTTGGATGGGAAGCAGACGGAGCTTGCAGCATATGGGTGTGCTGGGGGCAGGGGGGTATCTAGCTTCGTGGGGTAGAGATGGGATTACGGAGGTGCCGCCCACCGATACAACTTTTTCCACCTGCTCCACTCCGTTTGCTTCTGTGCTGTTGCCGGCTCAGAAGGAAATGGGGGAGACCTCAGAGCAGACAGGCGTAGGGGATGTGGGGCAGAGGTTGGGAGAGAGAGAGTGGCAGGGCGGGGGGATCTGTCCCTGGAGCAAAGGAATGGCTTTGGAGCAGCACACGGTTCACCAGTGGGACTCCCTGCTGCTGGAGACACCTGGAGAAATAAGCGCAGTGAAGGGCCTCTGTGGCTGGGAATCTGCCTTGTTATAGGCAGATCAGGGATCCCCAGGAGCCATTGAAAGGAGGGGCCAGTGACCCAATGCCCGACAAAGGTGTGAAATTTGGCCCTAGAGCCACAGATGCACAAGCCCCGCTCCATGGGTCCTGACCCTCTTTCAGGATGTGAAAGGCAAGGCTCAGGACTCTGCCTTGCTCTCTGCTCCAGGGGGATGAATTCACCCAGGACCATGCAGCGCTGCAGCTGGTTTCCATGGGCCCTCCCCTTTGTGGGAGGCCTAGAACAGCCTTTGTGGACCCAGGGAATCCGATGTCAATAGCATTAGCTTTGGGGTGTCACATTTATATGATCCCCGCCTTTGTGTTAGCCTGGGAGGGGTCACATTTATACAGTTCCCCCTCCCTTCCGTTAGCTTCAGGGTGTCATGTCTATACTGTCCTTCCTTTCCGGAGCCTCCGGGCATTTCATTCATACTGCTCCCGTCAGATTCGGCGTGACACATCCCATGCTAGACAAAGGTTGGTTAGAAAGGCTGAGCTAGTATATTTTCTACGTTGGCTGCACTAACGCTGGGTCTGACTGTGCTTCCCTGGGTGGGTGTCAATGGAAAAATCCTCTCTGGCCTTTCGGGGCCAGTTGGTTAAGTAGCGATGCTCACAGCTAGAGACGGAGACAGACCGAATTGGGGAAGGAAGTTACTGCCTGAGCTCTGCAGTGATGTCAGACAGTCAGGAGGGAGTGAAGGTCAAAGATAAGGGCGCTGGGAAACGACAGCGTTTGCTCTTGAGAGCCAGCCAGCTGAGAACTGTGAACTTGCTGAACTGGGACAGACAGGAAATGTCCTGTGAGTATCAGGGAAAGCTGCCCTGAATCCTAAAGGGCTACGCATGACACCCCAAGAGGAGGGAACAGTGTGGGAAAGGGGGTGTCTGCGGGTTCCTGAGAAGAAGAGGCTGGTCAGAAAAGAGCTGGGGAAGTCAACAGGCCAGCCCGGCCCTGAAACCAGACCAGGCTGAGTCCAGCGGTGAGGAGGCCACAAGGAGTCGGGAACCCTGACAGCTCAGCTGCCGGAATCCGCCTCCTTCCTGGGAGCGTGGCTGCTGACAGACAAGGAGCTAACACTACATCTCCTAGTTACCACAGCAGGTGACTCCTTGGAACCGGGTTCTCCCGGCCACATCATTGGCTTTTGTCACTCGCTCAAGCGGTTTGTCTCAGGGAAGAGCCTGAAAGGCTGGTTTATTGTTGGGGGAGGTGGGTACCGGGACAGAGATGGGTTGGGAATGGCACAGGGGTGTAGTTGGGCTGCAGGCACAGAGGTGGGACGAGGGTTTAACTTTTGACTTCCTTGCTTTGGATTAGAGGGTAATAAAGTAGAATGTAGTTTAGCAAAACTCAGTGTGTCTGGAGTCGTTCATAAAGAACAGGAGGGAGAGGGAGGGTGTGTGTGGTGGAGGGGGAGTGTTGGAAGACAGAAGGAAGTGTATTTGTCTTTGCTGCATCCATCTGTGGTGAGAGCCCAAACAATAATATCCAGCTCTTACTTAGCGCTTCTCATCCGCAGATCTCAAAGCATTTTACAAAGGTGGTCATCAGTGGGAATTTTCTGTAATATTTTTATGAATCCTAGGCATACCTCAGTTTCCCTTGGTACGCTGCACTGCAACCCCATGAGTGCAAAAGGGTTAACGCTGCTCCTGGAACAGTGCAGGAGATGGGTGTGTGGCACCTCGCTGTCTAGGGGGAATGACTGGGTCACTGAGGAACTGATTGAAACAGACCCAGATCAACAGAGGATGCAGCAAGACAAAGTGAGACCCCCAAGGACTGAACAATCAATGCCTAACAGGAAATCCCAGCAGGCAGGACATGTGAACTGGACTAAGAGTTGCCCTTTTGGAGGGACACAGGAACTGTGAGCTGGGCAGACAAAGGGGAGGGGGAGACAGGGAGGGAGTCCATCACAGCTTGGCTCATGGCCCTCGCTTGGCCAGGATGGACTGGCATAATTTCTGCCTCTCTCTGCTGCCCCGAGGCCTTTCAGATCTGGTGTGTCAGGTGACTAATAAATGGTTCCCTTGTTTAGGAAAGGCTGCTTGCATCTCTGCAGGACTCTGAGAGCCTGGTGCCCTGAAGGGCTGCCGTACAAGCCTCCCGCAAGAATCTGGCTCCGCTGGATTTGCGGGTAGAGAGAAACAGGGATCACTACTGCCTAAGACTCAGTCTCGGAGGCCGAGGGCCTGCCCTCTGGGTCCTAGACACTGAAGGGGGTCACTCCCCAAAGACTGGTGATGGTTGGGGGGCGGGAATGTAGACCAGACCTTGTGACTCCATGACAGTATCATTATCCCTCTTGTACACATGGGGAAACCGAGGCACAACAGAGCAACCTGCCGGAGGCCACCTAACAGGCCTGGGGAAAAGCCAACAATAGACCCCAGCTCTCCAGAGTCACCAATAGTGGATTAGCCACTGGGCCAACAGGGCCCATCCGCAGGGGTCCCAGCCAATGGGGGGCACCTGGAAAAATGGGCAACCACATCACCCTGACCTGCTCTCCACCCACCCGCCGCTCCTGTTAGGGAGCAGGGCAAGCCCCCATGCCCCAATCTCATTTCCCTGGGGGGGATGGGACCCCACTTGTTCTCGCCCAGGGCCCCACAAACCCCTAATCGGCCTCTGAGAGTCACAGTCCAGTGCTCTATGCCCTAGGCCACCAATGGTGGGAGTAAGTATAGGGAGTCTGTCTTCCATAGCACCAGCTGGAAGAATTCAAAACAAGCAGGAAAGAATGCCATTTTTAAAAATCCCAGGGTTTTAAAGACATTTTTTTCTTCCCCTTCTGGTCTCTGAGCCCTTGGGTTATGCATGTGGGTCATGGTCTCAAGCTTTTTTCTGCAACCACAGAAGCTAGCAACTTACTTAAAAAGATTTTCCTACAGATTTTCCAGGAGCTGGGCACATACCTCGAGACTCTTAAAATGGGGAGAGTGGGCAACCTTGCTGTGCGTAAGATATGTGGATTTTCAAAAGTGCCTCTAATTTTGCTCATCAACCCCTCTTGCCACATGCCTACTTTGCTGCCGAGCCCAGCCCCTGCCAGCTGCTGTGCACAGCTGCTGTTGGTCTGTGCAAAAGTGGGTACAAGGAGCCAGGTGTGCAAGAGAATTTCAGCTGCAAAGGAATCGGGCAGGTTTAGTCCCATGTTTATGCAGTGTCTAGATTTCATCCTAATTCCATTTTGACTGGAAACACTGCAGCTGGGAGGCTAGAGCCCCCTTCTATCCACCTCTGAGAAAAGAGACCCCTGGGGATGTTGATGGACAAGAGCTGGTCCCTCCTGTTGTTACACAGCTGTGGGCGCCCTGAATGCCACCTCCTTTCCAGGTCAGGGTAGGTGGGAGATGTTGGGGGGGGGGGCAATGATTTTTTTTTTGTGATGGGGGGTGCTGGTGCTGAATGATTTTTGGTAGGGTGTTTGAAGAGGGGAACTGGAGCCAATGGGTTGCTATGGCAGGGGTGTGGGGGTGATGCCCCCACAACCTCTGCCCGATGGAGTGACCTGACCTCCTCCCAGCCCCCTGTCTGTGCTCTGGTTGTGGAGCAGGAAAGAGGGGGAGGGTGGCAGGACAGCCAGGGAAGGGGGCTGTTCCCCTGGGAAGGGAGGGCCTTATATGCCAGTACTGGTAGATTAGCACTTAGTACAGCGAGGGGAGGGCTCCCTTAGGGCAGCTAATTAGCAAAGCCAAAAAACTTTCCCAGGTGCAGAACTTGGGGAGGGGGGGTATGTTTTGCTGGCCTGTCATCTGCCTGCCTGTAAGGTGGTGGGACTTCTCACATGGTGTCTGTGCAGCCCCTGGAATCACAGGGGGCCTGATCTCAGTTGGGGTCTCTCAGGGCTACCATGATGCACTGTAGCACCTAAGAGCCCCATCCATGGAGTAGGACACCATTGTGCCAGGTGCTGTACAAACAGAACAAAAATATTGTCCCTGCCCTGCGGGGCTTACAATCTATAACAACAACAAAGGGGTGTGAGTAGGGGAGGCAACAGAGCCAAATTATTTCTGGGGTGTGTGGGGAGGGGGGAGACAGAACAGGAGCCAAATTATATGGGGAGGAGGGATGTGAACCAAATGATTTTTGGGGGGGGACTAATGGGAAAGGGAGACAGGAGCCAAAAGGGGGGTGGGGTGGAACAGGAACCAAATGTGTTTTAGGGGGTGTGTGTGGATTTTGGGGTGCCACAGCAATGCCACAACCTGGCCAGGGAAGGATGCTGCAGAAATGCTTTAACTTTACAGAAAAAAATGTTTCTTTGAAGGAACACAAACCCCAGCTCTTTAGTGGAGAAAATCACCCTCCCCACAGACCACTTCTTAGCTAAAGAGAAGAAAAGATAAACCAGCTTCAGGTGGGACACTGCCAAAGCCGGCCACATGGCATGAGACAGTATGGCTCGCTCTGGCTAGTTGTTGGCTGGTGGGCCTCTGTGCTCACAGCGAC